TATTGTGTCGGTGCAATTAAATTTCGCATTGCACTTTGACGATTTTATCCACGATTGATTTTTTAATCTTAACTACACGAGGGGCTTGCAAATAGGCCACTACTTATATAGCGCGCCAGATGAAGCGATCATAAAAAGATAGGCCTCTTCGATAACTTTCGCGTTCAATCTCGCCGCGTTCCTATTCGATACTTTCAGTGCGGAAAAATATCGTCAATGTTTTTTTTTTTTTTTTTAAGCCGCCGTAAAGTTACGTTGATTAAATTTTTTTGTTTACTTACTCTTGTAAAGGATAGATCGCGTTATTTGCGTATCGTTTCAAGTAACGTATCGCGTTACGATATATCGAAATTAGAAAGCGACTTTGAGGCGAGTTATGAAAAAGAAATTATGAAACCGCTTCTGTTTAATTCGGAACGGCTATTCGATCAGAGAAGATTATGCCGGGATTTCATAGGCTAGGGAGGCAGAGATATGGTGGCTCGGATAAAGGAGGGCAGGGGAGGCAGGGGCAGCTGGAAAGTCTTGTCCATTGTGCCGGACGTGTACAATGCTTATCGACGGTGATTGCTTCATTGCGGACTAGAACGGGGATGCTGGATGTAAGGGCGTGATGCATACACCGACGCAGCTCGGCGTTATCGGGTTATCGGCCGTAATGCACACGCACGCCGACCACCTTTCTACTGGGTTAACATTTCAATCTGGAAAATGTAAACCATCCCATCCTCCGCTTCGCTCGCTCGGTCTTCCTTTCTCTTTCTCTCTATATATCCATCTCCCGCTTTCTGTCTCTCTTCGCCGACACTCGCTCGTTTGCATATCGCCCGCTTGTTGTTCTCGCCCGGCGAACGGACAAATTTGACTACGGCGACTACCGATTGATTCTGCGATTGTGATTCCAATAGCCGCGTATGCCGATGCAAAATTAAAACGGTAGAATTGGCATTCGCACGATATTCCAGCGTGAGAGCTTCGCAACGATCGATATTCATCCGCCGCGGGAGTTATCCAACGATGAAACGCGTACCGTTAAGAGAGAAAGAGAGAGAGGAAGAGGAAGGAGGGAGGAAATACGGTGAACGCGCACACGGCGTGAACATCGAAAAGAGCAATCGCGCCTGTTCTCGATGCAGTCCTCCCGACACGGGTCTGCTCAACTGCGTCTAGATGCGCTCGTGTATTCTCTATGCGAGATGGGCAAAAATCCGTCCGTGCGCGCTCCTCCTTTTTTTTTCCACCCGCCTTTCGTTCGTAACGGCGGCGAAACCACCCTCCGCCCTCCCTTTCTCCATATAGGCGTGTAACGACGATGCGCAAACAATGACGAGGGTTACGTAACAGCTATGCACGATGCAAACACACCGTGTTGCGCTAAGCGCGTATCTGTAGCGGGGTGGGCAACGAGCGGTAACAGGGACTACGGTGGCGACGGCGGCGACGTCCAGGACGAACAATGCGTATCACACGGTGGCCTGTCTGAAAATGCCCGGGCGCTCGTTCCCCGTCGTGCCAAACCTCGCGCCAAACGCGAGCAAGAGGCGCGATATCGGTGTGCTTTCGAAAAATAGACAGGGAGGAAGAGAGGGGAAAGGGAGGGTGAGAAGCGGGGAGCAAAGGAGCGGTATGCGTGTGATATCGAGCGTAATATCCGAAATAAATTTCCGATAATCGAGAGTCTGAAACTCTCTAAAGAATAGATTAGAACTCGTCGCCGTTAGATCACCCGCGCATCATTATTTTAGCTTGACATTTCGTTTATTTAAATCAACCTACTGATCGGTGACTGATTTATTTTATTTCAGGTTACATGAAATAATGAGATACATCGTACGTATCGATTACGCTTATATTATTATTGTAGTTAATTAATACGAACGTGTTTACATTGAACCCATTTTGAAATTTAATACCTCGGCGACGGCCGTTTTTCAAAGTGCATAACGACTGCGCGCGAATCTTTCCGGTGGTAGTCGAGCGAAATTAGCCAGCCAAGTTTCTTAACGATTCAGTGGAGCACCGCCCGCGCACACAGTCTGTAGACTTACGGAATTTCATCGGTAACCGCAGAACAAGAGGAGGCCGGTGATCGGCACTTCCACGAGCGAATGCATCGAGGTATAGGTACGATGACGGGATTGTCCTTCATTACGCACGAAGGAAAGTGCAGTCATCGGCGCGCATACCCGTAGGTATGCACACACAGAGGCATTAGCTCCCCCAAAGCCCAGCCGGTATTAATTCCACTAATTGGACGTGGTTTGGGTCGCGGCAAACATCGGTCCCTCTACCGATCGCCCCCGACTTGTCCGGACCATGCGCGTCGATCTCATGATCGATCGTCCTCTCGCAAGACAAAGGACGATTCTTATTCCGTTCTGAACGAGTTGCTCGAAGCTTAGCTTTATTCCTCAACTTCAACAGATAGGGTTCACGCTACAATTTATCATATATCCGCGGTAGTTTCGAAGTTACAGGAATATCAGTTTGCAAAGTCGTCTGACATAAATCTTTCTTTTGAATTATTAGCGTAGTCAGTAGCGAATTTATTTTACCGTTATTGGATCGTTGTACGCGGTTATGCGAACGATACAATTACAATAAATTGATCGTAATGTATGTATGTATATCCGAATTTTGCGAGACATTAAATGCTCCGCTCGAAATTCTCCGCAATGAGTTACGATTCTCCTAAATGTGTAATGTCAATTAACATGTGAGATGACATGTAACTGTCGAGAATGGAGTTCACATCGACACGCAGGCTAGTTTTGCGAATGTACGAATAGCGATCGGGGTTTTCGCTTGCGCGCCCGCACTCAATGAAGGATAGGCCTAGGGGGTCTCGCTTCGTTTAGGGATCTATAAGGTGACGGGATCAGCTGTTTCGAGTAAGCGTATCTACGGACCGTGGAATCTGTACGTGAGCACGAGGTACGGCCGTGTGTGCGAGTGCGTACGGTCGCACGGACGTGTCGGTATAAACACATACGACGATACTCGGTATCGCGAAGGGTCTCCCTAGCGAATCTGGGTCACCGGGCCGATGAGGGACGATGAGGGGTTGACTGGCCAAAAGAGAGGAGAGAACGCTAGACTCTTTTCCCCTCCAGTCGCTCCCAGCCACGAAGCGTCTATGAGATAATCGGAGACTGGTCGGATCTTCTCTACCATGTGATATTTTTCGCATTTTGTTTGTACGGGGCCAAGGAATGTATTTAAAATACGGATTAAAGAGCTCTTGAAAAAGAAAAATTACGTTAGTCTTTCCGCTCTCATTCAAGATGAGAGACGTCGCACATATAATATTGAGTTAGTTAGGATATGAATATGAGTACTCGACACCCCTCTTCGTCAAATCCCTTTCGAGAAGTTATATCTACACTTAAGATTAAGCGTCTTGTTTGTTACATTCGCTCGTGTAATTATTCGTATCCGTGTACACGGTTACGGTTTTCATCTCTGTCTCGCGAATCGAGGCACTCGATCGCGGCAAAGTTCACCTCCAGGAACTGTCGGCGGATACGGGCGCCTTGGGTATGGCACAAAGATATTAAGCACCCATACCCTAACCGTGTCGAGCTACGGAGAGCGTAGACTATCCTATGTGCTGGACTGGTGGGGATGGAGAGGCGGAGGAAACGCGGAGGCGCGCGCGGTAGAGAGGGGGCAGGTGGACTAAGGGTGGGCGAAGGCGTAAGGGGGTGGCAGAGCAGGAGAGAGATCGCAAGGAAAGCGGAGTTACCTACAGAAGAAATAAGTGCGCGCGTGTAATGCTGATGGCGAATATGGTAGAGGAGATCTGAGGGAAGAGTAGAGAGGGTGGCGGAGAAGGTTGAGGAGGAGGAGGAGGAGGAGGTGGTGAAGGAGGAGGTAGAGAAGGGAGAGGAGCAGGGGCAGATAGAGGAGTGGGCTCGCGGACGGCAGAAGGGTAAAGAAGGGAGGCAGCGCGCGCGAAAGCGAGCGATCGATTCGAACGTTGGCGACATTCTTCGTCGTAGGGACAGGGAACAGTGGGAGAAAGAGGAAGAGAGATAGAGACACGGGCAGTACGTGTGTGCGCACGTGACGCAGAGGGGGATGACGGAAGAAGGAGATAAAGCGAGGACACAGGCGGAGAGGGCTGGTCGTACGAGAGAGAGAGCGCGCGAACTCGGAGAACGTGAAGGGCGGGAAACGAGGAGGGGCGGAAGACGAGAATAGCATCAGAAAGATAGGAAAGAACGAGAGAAAAGTGAGAATGGTATACGACCTCGGAGGGATCGAGAATGCGAAAAGTGAGAAAATAGAAATACGGAATGAATTAAATATTAAAAGTAAAATAAAGAATTATTAAACAAAGAAGAAATCGAATGCAACGGAAGTGGGAGGATCCGCGATCGAAACACGACGATGGAAATGGATGTAAACAACCGAAGAAAGAAGCAAAAGCGAGCCGAGACTTGAGGGACTGGGCAACAATCAAGACGCCTGAGAGAGGAACAGCATGCGAATTGCGAAATAAGAGACAAGAGTGAAAGATATAAAAGCGAAGAGTGGGGCGTGGAGGTACGGACGCGTGAGCGAGCGAGTGAGCGAGCGAGCGAGCGAGCAAGTCGAGGCAGGAAAGAGAACGTAAGATCTACAACGAAAGAAGACAAACCCAGTGAGATAAAAGAAGAAATCCCCCACTCGCGCGCCGCTCGCGTCGCCGGTACGTTCCAGTCGTACTGTCCTCAGGCTCTCTGCGCGTCTGCGTCTGGTTGTCCCTCTGTGTTGGTAGCCCCCGGAACCGTCCTCACCGGCGTAGTTCGTCGTCGTCTACCACGTCGGTGGCAGAGGTTGGCAAATAGTGGGGGACGCGGGGGGCGGGTGGCCGAGCCGCCGCCACTTGGGGGAAGGTTCGAAAGGCGTAGACAGTGCGAGCCTGCCGTCCAATAGCGAGAACAGCCGCCCTGGTGGCTCCGCCAACCGGATAGTCGGTTGCGCGCACAGAACGCCCATCCTCCCCGTTTGTCGGGCTCCCACTGATGTTTTTATTTATTACATCTGTGACTGGGTAGGGAAATACTCCCGACTCGACCGAGAGAGCGTTTGCTACTTTGAGAACGAGCGACGCGCGTCCCTGCGAGTTACCGCGGCAGCCGCCTCCGTTGTCATCGTCGCCGTCGCCGCCGCCGCCACCGTTATCGCCGTTGTCGTCGTCGTCGCCGTCGCCGTCGCCGTCGTCTTCCTCCTCGCTGTCATCTCGTCATTGACATCGTCACAGTCGTATACACGTTACGGTTCCCTCGTGCTCACGCGTTTCGTCTAGAGCCCGGTGTAGTTGTCGCGATTCGCTTTCCGTTTTTTTTTGTGATATGGAGGTATCGTCGTCGTGAGCCAGTGCTAACGTCTCGCGCTGACCAACTCAGCGCGACAACATTTGTCATCGTGTTGTCAGCCTCGTCGTTGTGTTATCGTCAAGTTAAATCTTCGCGATGGATCGGTGAAAAGCAAATACGCGCTGAAAGTGGACTGAAAGTGGACCGAAAGTTTGTTATGAACACAGAAGTTCACGTGCGTGTGAAGACTGAAGAAATCGTGCGGTCTGACTTGGGCCAAGACGCACGACTTTCATTTGCAATGATAAATAGCACGTTCGATGGACGTTAGTTTGAAAGGTTAAATCGTTTTACGTGCCACTTATCGGTGCGGCTACGAGAGCTCGCAAAGAGGATCGTGGAAGAAACGGCTTTAACATGCATTGAAACGATATCCACGCTCGATTGTTCGAGTCGTACCGATATTCGCCAGCGGGCGAACACAGTGATACGGCGACGTGAACGTCAGAGGCACGGAGCGTATCGCTGGCGACAGGAACGTGCCGGAGTGTCTCGTCGTCTCTACGAGTTGTAGGAAGAACAGGGACGCGCGTTTTCGACCCTCCATGGACCACGGAGCGATGGACAGCTCTTCCGACCACAGCAGCCGTGCCAGTCCCGTAACCGGCAGTCCGAAACATCCTCATAGCCCGTCGACGCAACAGAGCCAGCAACAGCAGCAACAGCTCCACGGCAATCAGCATCAACCGCCGCCGTCTCATCAGCAATCGCACGGGCGCGATCAGATACGCGATCATCAGCAGCAGCAACCGCAGCATCGCGGTGTGCCAACACCGGGATCGCCTACGAGAGGCTCGCCACCCCAGGGCCTTCCTCTGAGTCCGCCGCCGTTGTCGGCCGGGGGCGGCCCCGGGGCACCGCCGGGGATGGTGCCTCGTATGCCGGGACTGCCGCCGCCGGGACTGGGACTGCTGGGCCAGCTCGGTGGTATGCTCAGCGGACACCATGGCTCACCGCTGGAGCTAATGGCAGCCCATCACGCGGTCCTGCCACCAAGATCCTACAACAGTCCACCGCCGATTAGCACTAGTGATCCTACCGCCAACGAGTGCAAGTTGGTCGACTACCGCGGCCAAAAGGTCGCCGCGTTTATAATCGCCGGCGACACGATGCTCTGTCTGCCTCAGGCCTTCGAGCTGTTTCTCAAACACCTCGTGGGCGGCCTCCACACAGTCTACACGAAGCTCAAGCGACTGGATATCGTGCCGTTGGTGTGTAACGTCGAGCAGGTGAGGATCCTACGCGGTCTCGGAGCCATCCAGCCCGGCGTCAATCGGTGCAAGCTGCTCAGCTGCAAGGACTTCGACATTCTTTACAGGGACTGCACCACGGCCAGGTAGGTTGACGAACTCTCGTAGGTTTCGCGACGATAGGATTTTCTCTTCTTATCTGTCAAGTTCTCGTTCGTCGGTTAGGTCCGTGCGATTCGGGAGCAGGTGTTTCTAGATTAAGAAAAACTGTGTTTGTTTAATTTCTCGAACATTAAGTTCATAGCTGATGATTGATATGCAGAATATTCAGAGCAGGAGAGAGAGAGAGAAAGAGAGCAGGGCCTTTTTAAGATCGTGAATAGTAATCTCGACGAAACCAATTTTTTTGACGTTGCCTCGTGGCGATCGCGCCATATTTCGAATGTTTTTGAAAAGGAATCCTACCCATAATAGCGAGCAGCAGATGTTTGTCGACTGTTATCCATAATTAATGCCAGTCCGTTTCGATAATATGATAAAAAGAAAAAGAAGAAGAAGATTCCGGAAATAACACTCGCGTATTGGGCACCTCAACGCGCTTCTTAGCTGCTGTTACTACGAACAGAAGCTACGATCTTCGCATACATTAATAACGCACGGTGTCGCCGCTGGGCAGCACTTTATCTTCGCCCCGTACCTTGGCTTGGCTTTCACGCTACCAGTCCGCCAAAAAGTACTTTAATTGTGTACCACCTACCGCTCCTTAAGACTTGATCATCGTCGAAAACAGCTCCCGGTGACCCTCAGGCCTTTTTGTATAGGCAGTTCACGAGCGATTCTCATCGTGAAATTGCACTTTGGTTTAGAAGGAATGCCGTTTCGAGAATAACATTATTTGCATTCAGGATAGTCGCACTGAAATGAGAGACATTATCGCACTCGGTTGTAAAATAATATTCACGAAATCGTTATGGTGCACCGTACGACAATAGAGAATTAAGATATCCGAGTCGTGTGGCAGCGGCACGTGCTCCTCGTTTCTAGGATTGTCACCGAGTTCCCGCGCCAACAGGTGTCCCTTTCACGGCAGTTTCTCTGAATGAATCGTCCCCGAATAGGGAGAGAAAGAGAGGATGCCGGGCGAGAGGAAGAGAGCCTGGTTGTACAAGCTCTCTCGCACCCCACCCACGAGGTAGACGACAGACGAAACGGAATGGTAAACGGAACGAGGGGATTTAAGGTCGTCAGGGAAAGTGTTGTCCTCTCGACGTCGTCTATCAATCGAGATCTCATCCCATCGATCAACGTTTTGTTTTAATCGATAGGCTCGACAATTTTGCTCGATATACTCTCGACAAATTAATCATTCGCTACGTTTAACTGTCACGATACGACCGAGGTCTTTCGGTGTTCGCGGCGGGCCACGAATCTCGCGCGGCAAACGGGCAATACTTGTTCAGCATGCGATGCGCAGCGGCAGTCACAACGGAAACGGATTCAACGCGACACGGAGAGAGGGACCGAGCGAGAGGGAACCGAGGGATATCCCGAGGGACAGAGTGAAAGAGCTAGAGAGATAGTCAGAAGGAGAAAGCGAGCGCGAGAAGTAGAAGGAGGAAGCTCGTAGGGATCGCAGGGATCCAAATAATCCGGAGTCACAGTCACAGAACAGAGTTCCGCGAGCCGTCGGCTCGTGCGGGTCTCGCCTTTCTCGAGCACGTTTTTTTCGTCTCGCTAAAGCTATTCTTCCTCGCGATATCAAGTTCGAGTTGAGCTTGATTAAAAAATCGTCAGTTTTTTTCGATATTCTATTATCTCTGTCCACTAGACAATCTTACGTCTCTGTTATAAATAATGTTATGATATAGCAAAAGGAAGGATTGCTTTCTCGAATAATTGCAATTATTGTCTACATGTAGACAACGGTTTTGAAATTTTTTCTGTAAATTATCATGCATCTAATATCAAAAACAGTTCACGATTCGTTATCAGTATTGACGATCATATGCCTAAAAATATTTGTTATGTTTATCGCGTCGCGATGATATCAAAGACGAGCAAGCAAGCAACCTAGTTCTTGGTTCTTCAGTTTGTCTTCAAAATCCTCGGATACTGTTTCCATCCGATTTTCTGATTGCGAAGAAACGAGATCGTAGAAAAGCGAAATGGCGCGATTGCGAAAAACAGGATGATCAGGAGGCTGCTGCGACACGACCGTTCTGTGCGGTCCGATCGCGTGTAGCGTTGACGTCGTTACATTCTGATAATACACGGCAACAGTAGCGGCAGCAAAACGGGTACACACGGCCATGCCACATCTACGACGAGCCAAACACACAGCCGAACGCGGACGGTGTAATACGCGCGCGCATGCACTTGCACACCTACGTTAGAGAGCTGCTGCACGTCGACCCCGCGCCGGCCGCCTCTACGCTCCTATCGGACCGATGCAACAGCATGCGCCCAGAACCGCACCAATAATTCAGGGGGATTTTTCTTGCGGTTTATAGCGCGCGGCGCCGGGTGCGTTGTTCCGTCCGGGCGGCCCGTAGATACAGAACCGATTGCACCGGACGCGCCGTATTTCGTGCTCACGGGCAGTAATAGTGTTAAAAAGCGAGGTATGCAGGCGACAACGACGGATGCGAAATTATAACACCGCGAGAGAATGAGAGAGAGAAAGAGAGCTTGTTCCGCTGTTGCTCCGCACCAGTCGCGGGAGACACGCGTGTCGGGACGTCCCGTGTAACGAACGCACAATGCGTGAATCGTTACTGCGGCGTGGTGTATTTTTAAATGCCGCGTTTATTTCTTATCGCGAGACTTCCTCTCCGTAGACACCGTCGTTTGAGCACGTTCGTAAGACGTGAATCCGAGACGGGGAGATCGCTATCTGATCGAGAACGCCGACAGATATTCTTGTTACAGACTGAAAAGTAATCGACTGCAATAATTGCGCGCGTCGTATATCATGGCATATAAGTCGATGCGAGCCCTACGATAATCGGCGAGGAAATAATAACGCGGCCGCGTTGCGCACAGCTAACGAGACGAGTCAATTATACTAATTAATTTGCCTAACTCGGTCGGACAAACGAACCAACGATCGCCTCGCCTCGCCTCGCAAACTGCCTTTTCAGAATTGCGTCTCTAATTGGGAATTCGCGAAAAGAGGTCGCGTCGAGGAGACAAAGAGAAAAGAAGGAAAAAGAATCGTAGGGGAGAACGTACGGCGGGGAAAAGAGCAACGCGTGATTTTTCTTCATTCTTCCTTCTTCCTATCGCGCGCGCGAGCGCGACGCTCAGTATACCTGGTATAACAACAGCCAGTTGGAAGTACGTGGGAGTGCGCGCGGCCCTGGACTATAATTCTATGCGCTATTAGCCGTTTAATTATAAAATTGTGCATAGATTAATTGGCTCCCGTAATGGCCCTAACAATGCACAGACATATTGTGAGAGAGCGAGAGACACAGGGGAGAGAGGCGGTAAGGGGAAGAGAGAAAGGAGGGGTATATAGAGAATAGAACCAATGAAGAGAGGGGTGAGGAGAGGGAGAGCAAGAGCTTGACAGACAGAGAGAGACAGAGAGAGAGAGAGAGAGAGGAAGGGGGAGGGCGAGAGAGGGTGAGAGAGAAAGAGATGGCTGCAGAAAGCCGTTATTAATATTTATTTCCTCTGCTCGCTCCTCCCAGCTCCTGGTTGTTGCCGTGCGCCGATGCGTGGTTATAGGCTACGTAAGCTTTTAATATCTATGCGCTCGTGTTAACTGCACGAATACACAAATAGGGCTCGGTAAAGTCCTCGTATGAACGCGATTGTGCTTTCTCCGCGGCTATGCGCTCTCGGGAAGCGTCGCGATATTATTTGACGGACGGACGTCTCGAAAAGGGATCGCTCGATTCTTTTGCTATAGCGACGCCGAGTGGAGAATGATCATCTCCTCTTCCCCCCCCCTTTTTCCCTCTCTCACTGTCTCCCCTCCTTGTGTATTCGTGCAGTTAACACGAGCGCATAGATATTAAAAGCTTACGTAGCCTATAACCACGCATCGGCGCACGGCAACAACCAGGAGCTGGGAGGAGCGAGCAGAGGAAATAAATATTAATAACCCCCCTCTTTTTCGCTCTCTCTCTCTCTCTCTCTCTCTCTCTCTCTCTCTCTCTCTCTCTCTGTATACGAACACGTATCTATCTGGTAATTGTATCGTTTACAGCAGCTGGCAGGCCTCTCGGCCTTTTTTTCCCCGTTACGTATCCTGCGCAGGGAATTGGGCCGCCAGCGTGATATTATAAAGGCTCGCATGACCCCATTGTTAGCATTACTTTTCATCGAGATATACGCGCATGTTGTTGCCACCGTCCTGCATGTACACGCGCTCGTATAGACTCACCCACGACGTGCGTGAGTGAATGCGCGCACGCGTGCGTGTCTCTCCATTAAATCTGCTTGTCGATTAATCCCATAACCGAAAACGAAGTCTGCACGTTCGCCGCTACTGTGCGTCAGTATCGTGAGAATAATTCAGGCAACTCCAATCGATGAAAACCGCGAGGCGGATAAGCCTTGAACTTTATAATATACATCAGTAACGAAACACGGCCGCGCTCTCGGGCTTTTTATTGATAAAAAGCGGGAACTGTTTCGCCTCGATTGGAAAACCCGAGTGCATCGTAACGTATCCGGATGCTGGTCGTTATTGGCTATTTCGGAGCTCGTAGTCGAGCTATTTAATGAAACGGTCATGACATCGTTATCGTTTATTTATTCATTTGTTCGTTTATTTGTCGGTTTAACAGCTTCGAGATACAGTATAGTTTATCGAGTTGTTTAATTACTCGACGCCACTCGACGGAGAAACCGGAGCGCGAAGCGGCCTTCTCCATTTATGGAATTCTCACAGTCCTCGAAGCACGCGGCCAGCGGTCACTAATCTCTTCTTACAATCGTTCTTAATTTACGGAAATTAATTGAAAACACAAATCTGAGAGGGGTGGCTTTCTTCCCAGCATCCGTCCGTCGCCTCCCCCATCCCCGTTGCCGTCCGCCATCACCACCCAGCCTACTCCCGCGCTTCGCTCGTAATTCTCGGTAATTAATAATCTGCAACAAGTAATAATAAAGCCAGTAATCCGGCTGCGCGCGG